ACTATTCGTTTCTACTTTGCATGTGTGCATATTGGAAATCTTCAGTGTGCAAGATGTATACACTTCCATTAGGATTTACAAAATAGATGGTTATATTTTTCATTGCATAGAAAATAAGTTTATCGCAGACGCTTACATGTTAAAAATGGGGCAAGTTGATAGTCTATTTGCATACACTGCTTTATGAATTTTAATCCTATACACGAAATGACCTTTATGTGTTTCATTAGTTTCATGGAGAATATTTGTTTCTTACATTTCTATATCCATATACGACAACGTTTAACCCATATCTGAGTTTTCTTTTGCATCAATAACTTCTTTGAAAATTTAAAATTCATACCTTTAAATTTTGTTCTCACTGTTAGGATGAATGGGATGGATGAGAAAATTGGTGCAGTTTCGAAAGCTGCTGAAGCACACGAAAATAATATTTATGCTCCAAACAATGAGAGTACTAACTCGAACATTGAAATGCTATTAGCACAAATGCCTGACCTCTCCTTCATGCTTGATGACAAACTTTCCATCCCAAAGAAGGCCGACGGTTCTCATTCTAACTTTTGAGTGGAAATTAATCATCCTTCCCTAGTTTTCTACTATGCTGTTAAACGGCTGGAAGCATCCAGTATAAATTCCATTTTTGTCATGAGATTTGTGCGGGGATTCCAGATGATAGAGAACGAAGGAAACACGGAATCTGAAGCTCTGCTTGAGCCGTGAATCCAGGCTCTGCAGTCTTACTCATCCAAATTATTTTGATGGCAGTTATTTACCGCGGCCCACATTGTGAAGGAGAGATTACAACTACCAGCAGGCAAGAACAGCATTGAAATCACACTGTTGTATCTTTAAACTTTTCGAATGTCCGAGCTAGTATTTTATAGAGCACGAAGTTATTCTTTGTATTATTTCAACTACAAGTTGTGTCTCATTTGCTTTTGATGTGAAATTGTCGAGTGCCTGTGAGTTATTGTATGATTGATGTCATCTTTTATTTTATCTTTTCTTGTTTGTTAGTTATTGTAAATTACTGAACTGCATGCACTTTGCAAAAATGAGTCCATCACCTATTCTTTCTTCTTCTTCTCCTTCATTGTTTTTCTTTTTTTTTTCTTTTTGTGTAAAAGCAGAGGAGCCTAAGCCCGAACAACAAGAAAAGAAATTACATATATGAGAGAGCTTGAGTCATAACCAGTTCTTTTTTAGTTGTTTAAGAAATTGTGATCTTTTCCATCCAGGGAAGTAATTGTGATATATCAAGCGCTAAAAAGAGGTGTTGCAGAATTGTTGTGGTCAGTCACTAGCTGGCTCTGGGCATTATTATTGCATTTATGAGCAACTTATGCGTGTAAAGTCTTGAACTTCAGGCTTAAATGGATTCCGATGGTAGTTATAGTCCCATCACTACAGGTGGACAGTGAAAAGTTTGTCGGCTGAGGGGCTATTTGTTTCATTTCCTGGAAACACAAATTTGAGATATTACTCATGGAAAATAAGTTGTGGGACTCATTTTCATATTTTCAAACCCATTTCATGACTTTTTTGGAGGAAATGTGTTTCCTTAAATTTGGGAGTCATAGCGTTATTATCTTACTAGTTGGTGGGTTCTACGTGCATAACATCTTTTTTTTTTTCTTCTCTCAACCAAACACAAGAAAAGAAAACCAAACATCTTCACATGAGTATGCCGGATGTTTTGATTTTCTTTTCTTAGTTTCTCAGCCATTCAAACAACCCTTGAAGTCACTAGCTCTTGGAGACTACTCTAGATAATATGTGACTATGTTCCCTTGGGTTGTTATCTTCTCCATTTCAGCGTGACATGTGTCAGCACCTAAACCAGATGAAATTTATGGTTTCGACATTAAAGTGATAAGATTCTTCCAGCATCGCTCACTCGTGATTCATGTTCCAGACAAAAGGATGGTGCCCGCTTTTGTGATGTTGTATCTGATGTTTGCTGGCTCATTATTAGTCGTGACATCTTCACGAAGCTTCTGTTTTCTCAACGTCATCGTGTTTTCTATGTTACCACTTGGTTTGTTTTCACATTGTGATTGATTGAGGTGATACGGTAATTTTATTTTATTTTAATCCAGATCCTACGTATTCTAGTCCGGTGAAAAAGTCGGCAACATTTGCGGTGAATTCAGGATTTCTAAGAATTATAAGAAATGGTGCAACCATATAACTAGCTAGAAAGATTTACAAAACTTCTAATAAGTTTTCATATTTTTATTAGAAAAACATAATCATGACGTTGATAATACTATCAAATACATAATTAGCAACACTATCAAATAAACAAGAGTCATAGGTTAATTAGCATATGTGCCGAGGGAGCTCAACTTCTTGTGCATATTTAGGGGAGAAAATCTTGTTAGATAGTTTAGGATACATTATGCCCATTAAACGTGTTCTTGTGGGTTTATTAAATATCATGTCTCCGAGCTTAAAGCTAAGTTGAGAACATATTTCCTCTATGCCAATTGAATTTTTGTGGGAACATTTGAGGAAAATAATATCATATGACATCACTTTTCATAAGATAGATTTATTTCTAGACGACCTAGTTTAAATGTAGGGTTGAAAGACGTTCAATATATAGACTAGCGCATCAGGATTAGTTTATAAAACTCCTCTTAAACTCTAGAGGCTAAAAGTATCTTAGCCATATACGGATGGTTCTAATAAGATTTGTCTTCTAAACTTACTAAGGTAAGCATTGATTGATTTTGCTCGTAAAATAATACAAAAGAAATTATGCACGTCTAGATTAGTTTGTCGAAAGTCACCTATATTACATAAGAGTGGTGTTAGGGGCACACCCCCTACCACACCCTATTTCCCATCGCTACAGTAAACCGGGCCCCACATGGGATTTTAAAAATTTTAAAATCCCATGTGGGGCCCGGTTTACTGTAGCAATGGGAGAGGGGGTGTGGTTGGTGATGTGTTAGGGGGTGTGCCCCTAACATTATTTATTACATAATTGCATTTCTTGAAATGATGACGACGACGATGAGGATAATATTAATAATAATAATAAAAGATATTAAGTCTTATCAGTCATAATAAAAGATCAGAGTTTTCTTATAATTAACCGGTGGAATACGCAAAAATGTCACACGTCCGATGAACCCAATAATAATAATAATAACCATGTGCTAAGTGCTATACACAACTCATATCTTTAAATTGATTATTATTTTTAGCCTTCTGTCCTGATCCCCCCAGTCCTTTGAAACAGTAGGGCACGTTTATTTAAAGAATCC